TCGTGTATATTGTTGTGTTGTACTTGCACCGTACACATAGTGTTTGCGAGATCGAGCAACGGCGTCTGTATTTCAATATTTCAATGGAACTATTATTGTGCCGCAAACGTTGGGATGAGCAGAGGTGCTGTGAAGCGTATTCAAGCGCTGGCATGTTCGTGTTTTTCTTCTGTGAGTATGGCGCAATTTTCCTCAGGTTTGCACTGTTTGACAGCTAAGGTGGTGTCGCTTGGAAGCGTTCTTAGAGCCTGGGATCTCAGTGGGTCCAACTGGGTCCGAAAGAGTTTTGAGAGTGTCCGGCAAGTAGTCCTTTTCCAGTAGCATGATGTAATGCAATTATATGCAATTGCATTTTGTTTGAGACCCCTGCAGTCTTCATATTTGGTAGCAAGCACAGGCAGCAACATTTTTTGGAATTCAGCCGCTTCAGCCGCAGAATTCATGATTTTTTTTACAAGTTTGTTGCATTGAACGATTTTGGACCACCACACCTGAGAGCACTTTGTGCTGCATGACATGCATTAATTGCGAAATGCACATGCAAGTTTGTCCGGTCCAATTGATCAACATCTTTATGGGTTGTCTGAAAGTCGCAGAAAAAACATGTAGAATGATAGATCACTGAACCGCATTGAACCGCCACTGAGACCTGTCGCATCTGATCGCTGCCTGTCTTTTGCAGCTGCAATAAGCTCTACTTTCAATGAAGAATTATTTCAAAATGCTGAAAGATTGCAGAAATAAAATTCACATCTCATTTTTTTTAATAAAATTTGCACATATTTGCACATGTCTACGATCTTTGGGGACCTGAGGAGCTTTGATGCTCACTTCCAGGCTGGAGCACATGTGATCGTGTGATGAGCAACATGTTTCATCATGTTTAACATAGACTATGGATGAGTGTCGTTTGTCTACAGAATCCAAAAAAAAGTGGGTTGAAAACATTGTTCGGAAGAAACGCATCAAGTCATCAAACCAACAGCTACAGTATCCTTGGAAGTCTAGAAACATCCGATCCGGTCATGAACCCACCACCAAAAACAGTGACTTTGCGCACAAGACAAGATAAAACGCATTAAAATAATGACAAAATATGACAAATAATTTATGTCTATGATATGTTTTGAGATGTTTTGTATAGTTGTGTTTGATCGAAGTGGTTGAAAGAGTGTGTTTTTGGCGGTTGGCTGTCTGCCAGTCTGGAAATGGAAGCCTTTGATACGTCATTGTTCCGTGTTTAAGACCTGCAAATACCTGGTTCGAGAGGGCGTTGCACCATATTTTTTCCCGAGACCGGTCTGATCATCTTGTTTCCCGGTTGCAAATTAGTTGTCAAATTGTCAAGAGTTACAGTTTTTCATTGTTTTTCAGATATTCCGTTCCTCAATATTGAGCCGTTGCACATTTCAATATACGTGATCTTCAAAAGTCAGGAGGCTCCTCAGCGAGAGAACCGCCGTGTTCTTGGGTTCAGCTCAAAGTTTGTTTCACCGTGTGTTTTGCATAGAAACATAGAAATGATGAAATCCGGAATCCGAAAGTGCTTACTCGGACCTTGGATGCTCTTAAACAGTTTAAACAGGGGATAACAGGGGTTTTGCGCAATTTTGATGGTTTTTGTGGATGAAGGTGATGTTGATGTTTCATTATATGTCCATTGAATCCCAGTTGATGAACATCCCTGGAGGAACAAGACTCCCACTGGATATGGAGTCCGTGATACTGTAGGTACCTTGAAAATAACACCACAACC